GAATTATTTTCACAGCTTTAAAAAGGCGGTAATTTGAGGTTCCGATATGGTTGCAAATAACATTGACAGTTTTCATGCTATGACAGTCATTTATGCTTCATTTTAACGCATTATGATTGCACTTTAATATGGTATATAATTTGTAGCATAATGTGTGCTTTTACTAATTGGTGAATTTGATAGATCGGTAGAATTATTGTTCTATGTTTAATAAACGCGGTAATCTGAGGTTCCGATATGGCTGCAATTAACTTTGGCAGTTTTCGTGCTAGGACAGTCGTTTATGCACCATTTTAAAGCATTAAAATTGCCATTTGTTTTGGTATATAATTTATTGCATAATGCATTTTTAGAAAACGGCCAATTGAATAAATCGGTAGAATTATTTTCCCAGGTTTAAAAAGGCGGTAATTTGAGGTTCCGATATGGTTGTGAATTACTTTGACAGTTTTCATGCTATGACAGTCATTTATGCATCAGTTTAGAGCATTATGATTGCACTTTAATTTGGTATATCATTTGTGGCATAATGTGTTCGTCTAAAAAATGGTCAATTTGATGGATCGGTAGAATTATTGTTCTATGTTTAAAAACGCGGTAATTTGAGGTTCCGATATGGTTGCAAATAACTTTGACAGTTTTCATGCTAGGGCATTAGTTTACCCATCATTTTAAAGCATTACAGTTGCACTTTATTTTGGTGTATAATTTGTGGCATAATGAATTTTTACAAAAATTGGTTAGATCGGTATATTTATTGGTACAGGTTCAAAAATGCGGTTATTTAAGGCTCCGATATGGTTGCAAATAACTTTTATAGTTTTCATGTTATAACAGTCGTTTATATATCTTTTTATTGCATTATAGTTGCCATTTGCTTTGGTATATAATTTATTCCATAATATATTTTTGGAAAATGGCCAATTGGATAGATCGGTAGAATTATTTTCACAGATTTAAAAACGCGGTAGTTTGAGGTTCCGATATGGCTACAAATAATATTGACAGTTTTCACGCTATGAATGATATTTATGCATCATTTTAAAGCATTATGATTGCACTTTAATATGGTATATCATTTGTAGCATAATGTGTATTTTTACAAATTGGTCAATTTGATAGATCGGTAGAATTATTGTTCTATGTTTAATAAACGCGGTAATCTGAGGTTCCGATATGGTTGCAATTAACTTTGGCAGTTTTCGTGCTAGGACAGTCGTTTATGCACCATTTTAAAGCACTAAAATTGCCATCTGTTTTGGTATATAATTTATTGCATAATATATTTTAAGAAGATGGCCAATTGGATAGATCGGTAGAATTATTTTCCCAGGTTTAAAAAGGCGGTAATTTGAGGTTCCGATATGGTTGTGAATAACTTTGACAGTTTTCATGCTATGACAGTCATTTATGCATCAGTTTAGAGCATTATGATTGCACTTGTGAGGCCGTGCGACTTTAATTTGAGAAGTATAGTCTTGTTCATTTTACTTTGTTGGAAAATAATTTTAATTTTATATTTTGATCAGAGTATGGTTTTGTTTTGGTTGTCAGATAAAATGAAAAATAAAGGAATTTTTGTTTTTGAAAATTTGTTTGTTTGAGAAAGACGTAAAAAAAAAAAGAAAATAAATAAATTAAATACATATACTTGATCAATTATAAATATTATGCTATTGACATGATAATTCAACATTAAATTGAACACTAAATACACCATTTTCCCTTCTAATGAGTTACTTTAATTGATTAAATTTTTATCAGAATATTGTAATTTTTTTTTAATTCTTAGATTTTTTTTTAATTTACATAATTTTAACTTTTAAATAAATGTTTCAAATTTTGGTTGACATTAGATTTATTTTTCACTTTCTTTAAATTCAATTTCTGGCATTATTGTTATTAGATTATGAATTTTGTTATTGAAAATTTTAATATATAATGACATATACCTTTCTTACTTTGAATTAAATATTTCTTTAATATGGATTTCTAATTTATTTAATTAATTCGCGAAAAATGTAGACCTGTTTAGTTAGAAAAGTAAATTGGGCTATTCATGGAATTTATTTTGAATAGCATAGGTTAAGGGTGGGTTAAGAGAGGAGTGAGTAGAATTTCAGCTAATACTTATTCCGAACCAGGACTCATTTACATTCATCACTATTTAGGATTTTTCTCTCTCTCGAAATTGTTATAGTCGTTTCTAGGGTTTGTTTGCTACTATATTTTTTTTTATTTTTGAGATAACGAACCGCCTTATCTTATCCGAGGAAAAGATCTCCCCCATTATCCCTGAGCACGGCCGGACTGATTAGTAGCACTCTTCTTTGAATGATAAGGCTCGTCGGGAAATGGTTCGTTACATAAAATAAATGGCGCCCAACGTGGGGCCCAGCAGTATCGATTAGTTTATTATTTTCTGACAACAACATATTAATGGATTTTTATCTCTGCTGTGGCTTCATACAGATTTTATTTATTCCGTGGTTTCGACTAATTTCTTTAATTTTTATTTATTTTCTAAATCTATTTTTATCATGTTCGGATTTAAAATTTTGGATTTTATCTAAGATTTTACACCTAATGATTAAATAGATTGCAGCCTATCCTGATGTTACCGTTTCTGTTTGAGATTGATTCTTGGAACATTTTGAGATTTCACTCACGGAAATTTTGACATATTTGACTTTGGGTTATTCTTTCGAAATTATATTTTGTGGTAGAATATTTGAGATTTTGATAACTGATATTATTTCGGATATTTACTCAAATTTGTATTACAGAATTTTTTTTTTTTTTTATTTTTGTTTGTGAACTTTGATGTTAGGATTTCTATCTTAAATATTTGTTTTTTATAGTACTTACTTCAAGGTTTGCATAAATTCTTTTGTTTATATATTTTTTTTTTTGGGATGTAATGAGTTCTATTTTTTTTATTATTTACTTTTCTAACTAATATAAATGTCTCATGAAGTAGCGAATTATAACTTATAATATTTTGTTGAATTGTTAGTTTAAATATGGTTTTGACTAGAAGCCAGGAAAATTTGTCTAATGTAGACCAACCTTCAAACTGTAGTTTTACAGTCAATTTAGAACCAGAGACCATGACTCCAGTTGCACAAGGTGCACGACCTAAAAGGACAACTCGCGATACAAATCAGCCTAGATCTGATAATCCTCTTCCAACTTCACATTTTCAACCTGCTAATGCAGATGATTCACGTTTTAGACGAATTGTTTCGGATTCTTTACAATCTTTTCGGGTGGAAATGCAAAGTTTTATTTGCAATGAATTTCGGAATATGTTCCAAAATATGAATATCTCTAATAGTAATAATACACCTGACGTTTCTCCAAATAACTTTTCAAATTCTTCTCCTCCACCAAAGAACAATGTCCCACAAAATAATTTCTCTGCTGATAAGATTTTGAATATCATTCGAAACTGGCGAATTAAGTTTAGTGGTCATGATAATCAGATGCCAGTCGATGAATTTATTTATCGCGTAAATATTTTGACAGTTAAAAATTTGAATGGCGACTTTGAATTGTTGTGCGATCATGCTCATTGTTTATTTGAGGAAAAGCCTTAGAATGGTTCTGGCGGTATCACCGTGACCATGATAATGTTGAATGGATTGCACTAACGAACTCTTTACGTGACAAATACAAAGTAGACTATAACGATTTCGATATTTTAGAGGACATTAGAAGACGAAAACAAAAACCGAATGAGACTTTCGACGAATACTTGGACACAATATCGGCTTTTACTGACAAATTAAAATCGAACATATCTGATCGCGATTTATGTGAAATTTTACTCAGAAATTTGAGAAGTGAAATTCGCCACGAGTTGATTCATTTGGAAATTTCTAATGTTTCTCAACTTAGACGTGAAGTTAAGAAGCATGAAAGATTTGTCAAGGAAATACACGTGGAGTCTAGAAAATTGACCAAAGGATGAGTTGCGGAATTGACAGAACAGAGACATAATGAGGACAAGGATTTTGTAGATAAGACTTACAATGAAGATGAAATTTGTGCAGTTCAACACAATATTAAGTGTTGGAACTGTGATAAAATCGGACACACTTTCTTTGACTGCATGGAGACCAGACGTATTTTTTGTTATGGATGTGGGATTAAGGACGTTTTTAAACCCACTTGCCCTAATTGTACCAGAAAGACGGGAAACGAACTCAAGGATGTCCGTCGAAAATAGAGCGGGCATCCAAGACAATAGAATCGGACTTAAGACAAAATAAGACTACTTTTGACAAGGACATGGACACTAATACGGAACAAGTGCATCCATTATTAAGACCTTATCACGTTAGATTGAGGGAATACAATCTAGCCCGCGACAGAATTTTTGGCCAGAATACTTGTTCGAATAGGAAAATAAGATCTGTAAAACGAATTAGAGAGTATTATGGACAAATTAAAAAGTTTAAGAATTCTATAATTTCTTCACTGGTGGAGAAAGATTTGGATAATAGGCCATATGCAAAATTGAAAGTTGGTGATAATTATTATTTCGCTTTGTTAGATAGCGGGGCAAATACCAGTGTCATTGGGGGCACTCTATCATCACAAGTTGAAAACAATAGTAGTTTTCGCAGACTTATAGGCAATGTACGAACAGCGGACGGACAAAGACAAAACGTTATAGGTACAGTGACTTTAAATATTACATTTCAAGGACAAACAAAATTATTTCAGTTTATTATTGTACCGACTATACAACAGGACATCATTTGTGGATACGACTTTTGGACAGCTTTCGGATTGAAAATTTCAACACCAATTATTAGTGAAATTGACTGTACTGAAACTGACCCAGACAAATTACAACTGACTTACGAAGAAAGACAAAGACTAGAAAAAGTTATTTCTATGTTTCCAAACTCCGAAGTAGAGGGATTAGGATGTACTACTTTGATTGAGCATTCTATTAATACAGGGGACGCTAAGCCCATAAAACAGCGTTATTACCCAATTTCTCCAGCTGTAGAGAAGTTGTTGTGTGGTGAATTGGACAGAATGCTATCCCTCGGAGTCATAGAAGAAGCACCCAGTTCTCCTTGGTCTTCACCAACAGTAGTTGTAGTTAAGCCTGGTAAAGTAAGAATGTGTGTCGACAGTAGGAAATTGAACTCCGTGACAGAAAAGGACGCTTACCCGATACCAAACATTGACGGACATATTGCAAGGCTTCCTCCAGTTTATTGCATTTCAAAAATAGATTTGAAAGATGCTTTTTGGCAAATTAAATTGGAGGAAAGTTCTAAACCAAAGACAGCTTTTACAGTCCCTAATCGGCCATTGTACCAGTTTACAAGAATGCCGTTTGGACTGTGTAATGCACCGCAAACGTTGTGCAGACTTATGGACGTAGTTATTCCGTACAATTTAAAGACGCACGTATTCGTCTACCTAGATGACCTTTTAATTGTTTCACAGAACTTTGACGAACATATGACACATTTAGTAGAGGTGGCAAGCCATCTTAGAAAAGCAGGTTTAACTATAAACATTAAAAAAAAGTTGTTTTGCGTTAAATAAGGTGAAGTACCTAGGATACGTTGTTGGAAACGGGACACTACAAGTGGACGAGGACAAAGTTAGGGCCATACGCGACTTTCCGGTACCAAAATCAATACGACATTTACGACGATTTTTAGGGATGACTGGTTGGTACCGACGATTTATTAAGGACTATTCGACTGTGACATTTCTACTGACGGAATTGTTGACGAAAAAGAAAATTTTTGTTTGGACTGACATGGCTCAAGAAGCTTTTGACGAACTGAAAACTAAACTGACATCTGCCCCATTACTGATCCACCCAAACTATAACAAACCTTTTATACTCCAATGCGATGCGAGCACTTGTGGGGTTGGAGCAGTATTGGCGCAGGAAGACGAGGATGGTACAGAACAACCTATTGCCTATATGTCACACAAATTAAACAAAGCGCAGCGAAATTATAGTATCACTGAACTTGAGTGTTTAGCGGTATTGATGACAGTGAAGAAATTTAGACCGTATATTGAGGGCCAGGAATTCAAAGTCGTCACAGATCATGCGAGCTTGAAGTGGCTTATGAATCAGCGTGATTTATCGGGGCGATTGGCTAGGTGGTCACTTAAGCTGCAGGGTTTTCATTTCTCTATTGAACACCGAAAGGGAAAGGACAATGTGGTTCCAGACGCGTTGTCTAGGGTTCATGAAGGCGAGGAATTCATAAATTCAATTGAAATTGAAAACGTTCCGACAATTGACCTTGACTCTGACGAATATTCTAAATTGCGTGAGTGTATTCAAAATTCAAATTTACCGGACTTCAAAATTATTGGCAAATATGTTTACAAAAGGACAGAGTTTTCGAATGGTTTAACTGACGAATCAAATTTGTGGAAGTTATATGTACCTACTGGACTTAGACAAAATATAATTTTTTCGGCACATGACTTACCAAAATCTTCACACGGCGGAATTACAAAAACATTAGAACGCATAAGACGTTACTTCTTTTGGCCACGACTTGTAACTGACGTTAAGGACTACATTCAAAATTGCGACTTATGTAAGACGTCTAAAATACCGACTACTATTTTGAGACCTCCACTAGGATAAATTGTTAAGACGGACCGACCATTTCAAAGATTGTATGTTGACCTCATAGGACCATTACCAAGGACAAGGACGGGAAATATAGGAATATTAATAGTACTTGAACATTTTTCCAAATTCACGTTTCTGAAACCATTACGAAAATTTACTTCTAAGGACATAACAAATTATTTACAAAACGACATATTTGACTGTTATGGGGTTCCACAGTGGGGCAGAATGGAAATTTTTTGGAAATAAATCTGGCATTTCTAAACGGCTGATCCGATCGGGATAAAATTTGGCATGAGCGTAGCCAAGGAGTATTCGAGTTTAAATTTTGAAGATGAACCCTGCAGATGCCCCAGGGACGGCGCTGTGGCGGCTCAAAGTGGGGTACCTACGACATGTAAAATTTTTAAACTCGTGCCATTTTTTTGTTTTTCACCCAAATACAAAGATTTTTATATTTTGTGAAAGCGCTCGACGAGATCTTGAAAAAACATGCTTGGACATACTACTTATCTCTTATAATATCCGAGTTATAGGCATTTAAAAATTTAGTGATACAAAATTTACCATACCTTGGTCCGCCTTTTTTTGAATACCGGGCGTAATTTTGATCAGATCAATATCATTTACAGATCCAAAAATATACGTTTTTTAATTTAAAAATTCAAAAAATTTTAGATTTTTGGCGTTTTTTTGCCAAAAATGTGTCTTAACTCTTTTATTAATAAAATAAAATTTTCTTTAAGAACATATAACAATTTTATAGTTTTCTAAAAGGTATCTTTACGCAGAACGCTTTGGCGTAAAAAACTTGTCCTATTTTTTGAAAATGTTGCCACTGCGTCTTTCCGAATATGACCTATTTTTCATCAAAACTTCAACTTTGGGCGACATGTTCTAAAATCCCAAAGCTGGGATCAGAAAACTGAAAGCAGTTTTGGAAACCTCAATATGTTTTCTATTTACTCCAAAAGTATTTTCCCAGCCCTGAAAGAAATGTGGACCCTATGGGCAAAAAAGTAAAAAATCCCATTTTTGGGATTTTCATTCCTATTTTTGGGAATTGCGGGATGCCCTTTGACCTTTTCAATTTTTTTTTTACATATTCTTATTTGAAATGACAAATTTAACAAGCGTTGAAAATTTCATTGAGTTTTGTTCATAAATAAAGATTTTGTCATATATTACATATTTGTTTAATTTCTAAAACTATGATTTATATCAAAATTTTAATAGGATCGCAGATAGCTACAACAATTTAGTCCATATTTATCCCTTAATATCATTTTTTAGTTAGATATGGAAATTCTCGACCCTTTACAAAAAATTTCAAGCCAATATCTCAATTACATTCAAAAATATGTTCATTTAAACCTGTGTCCTTTAATTTCATCTTTTTCATATTTTTATGACAGAACATACATTTTGTGTTGAATAAAATATTTGGACAATTTTTAAAAATTATTTAGTTAAATATTTTATTATAATATTGTATATACAATAAAAAAATTATAATTTTATTATGAGCCACGCACAACAACACCTAAATCACCCCACACAAATTACCTTTCCCGCCCACCGAAATATAAAACACAATTTAATACAATTCATCAGTTAGTATAATAGCTTTTTTTATTTGAACTGTTTATCTTAAACATAATACAATTAATTCTTACAACCTACTTATATAGTTAATTCCTAACACTACTTATTTTCTATAAAATAATCTGTCATATCGGTATACATATCCAAAAGGTAATATAAGTCCTTTAAATCTTCCTTGTTTTGAGATGATAGAGTTTCATAACAAATCCATCTTTTTCGCATAGTTGAAAGAACAGGATCAGAAGATAAAAGTAAACTATTAAAAATATATTCATTCTGTGATTGCCTGGAGCATTTTCTTGAGCTGAATAGTTGAACATGCTTAAAATCTCGATTCCTCGCTTCCTGGGCTTCTTCTGTTAACTCTCCAAGTGGAAGAATATTCGATTCAATTATTATTTGACCATGACACAATACTTTGTGTACTGTTGGTGTTAGTTCCCTCCATGGATACAGAGATACAAGTAATTTAGAAATTTCAGATGTGTATTCCCCAAATCGATTTCCATTAATTTTATGTTTACTATTCAGTGCCATTAAAATAGTGTTAACTCTTCGAAGCAACTCCTTGTCGATTCCAGTTATTTTTGAAGTAATTTCAAAATCACGAAAAAACCTTCTCGCCGTATTACCGTCATTTGTACTACCGCAACTTGAAAGTGGTTTGTCGATGTTTAATCCCATCTGAACTTTAAATTCTTCTTGGATTCTGCTTTTTTCCGCAGCTCTCAGTTCTTTCAATTCTTCATTATTTTTTGTTGATTTAGTAGGATAGTTTTTTTTTTCCTGGATCGCCTTGTATGATGGTAATATATTGTGTCCTTTTTCATGCAGAGCTTTCCTTAATATTTGGTACTTATTTCGACTGAGACCCAGTTCCAACATAAGCGCTATTGCTTCCTCTTCAGTAAAATTTGATTATGATGTTGGAGTTGGTATACTTTCCACAATTCGCTTAAGTCGTCTTGGTGATGCATTAGGAAGAATAGTTGCAATATGTACGACATCCATAGGTTGGTTTTCCTTTTTCAGCATTTCGTTAAATGTATCAGCAATTTCCTCATTTGAGATTGAAAAAAGTTTTTGTGTGACCCTCTTTTTTTTGACCTGGAACATAAGTCTTCGTATGACTTTCAAGGCGCTCCTGTTGATGTGTTGTAAGTTGAGATTTCCGTAGTAGTTTCCATCCAACTACAAAATTTTAATCGAAATTTCTTTTGATTTCCATCCACAGACTTACTTTTTACATCAAAAAGTTTTAAAAAGTTTTCAATTTTTGATATGCCTGTTTTGTCTACTTTTCTACTATATGTAGTTTTTATATAATTTGAAATGTCTTCAATTCTTTCTGGCCCTTTTGAAGATATACTCCATAAAACGGAACACAACTCTTCGTACTTTAATGTAATCTTCATTGTAGATTTATTAAATATGGTACTTAAAATCTGAGAAGTTTACTTATATACCAATTCTTGTCGTTTCCGATACAGGTATTCCAAAGTAAAAAATTACGAATTGTCGACCTATTAACATTTAGGACTATATTACTATAACCTGTAATTCAGTCCTTGATATTTCTTATTAGTGAATGAATCGAAATTATCATTACCTGTATATTTTTACCTACATGATCATAAACGAAACAGATCGAAATGATCTGTCGAAAAAATTTAGGTAAAAAATAGTTATAAATTTTTGAAAATTTAAGCATAATAGGACCTTTCAATTATAAGGATAAGCAAACAAATAGAAAATAGGTAAATATAAGATTTAAATATGTTCTGTCATACTTAATACTAAAATATGAAAAAGATGAAATTAAAGGACACAGGTTTAAATGAACATATTTTTGAATGTAATTGAGATATTGGCTTGAAATTTTTTGTAAAGGGTCGAGAATTTCCATATCTAACTAAAAAATGATATTAAGGGATAAATATGGACTAAATTGTTGTAGCTATCAGCGATCCTATTTAAATTTTGATATAAATCATAGTTTTAGAAATTAAACAAATATGTAATAT